CTCATAATACATACTAAGTCTGAAATGTGCGGAAGCTGAAACATAATATATCTACGCATAATAATGATAGTACATGTTCAATGAATGACATGCAGATGCGTTACAAAAAGACTGCTAATGACCACGACTGCCACTGAAATCTCACGCGCCATACGCCGCTCCGTCACCTGAAAAACGTAGTGAGGGAGTGAGCAAAACCGCTATGCTCCGCAAAGACCAGTACTTAATTATATAGCATCGTTAATAACAGTATCATGACTTTAAGTATATAAGAACTGAACTGAACTGAAACTGTAACTAGGGCATCTGGTGGTCATAAAGACCCTGGGGCTTAAAAGCCAATCATGTGCACACTCCGGGGGATCATTAAGGCCAATTAAGGCCTCCCTCATAATCACGGGGGAACATTAAGGCCCGCCACGGCCGCCCTCATGATGAACTATCTATTTCTCATACATACCTCGGACATGGTACAAAAATTAAAGATGATATAGAACCAGTACGTGACCCCCACCTGATAGCTGCTACTGCTAGGCAAGTGCTGACTCACTGGTAGCTGTCGGAGGCTCGACTCTCCTTAAGCTACATAAATATTTGAGCAAAATGTACTAAGTACTAAGCTCAAATAAAAACTTGATTCTTATTATTAATAAATCTTACTCGGTTCTCTCTCGCTTGATTAAAAATATCGTTTAATCTGGATTTAGATGCTTTGAGCTGTTCTGAAAATATTTGCTGACTAGGAGGCATTCTAGAGTTCTCTGAAATATTTCTAAGTCTGGTCTGCTTATCTGATTTATCTGATCTAACTTATCTGACTGATCTGATCTTATTTATCTGACTGGGTGCAAATCGACTTAATCGTGGTCCGGGTGCATACGCACGGACACGACATCAGTCGACGCACAACTTCCTACTCGGATCTAGAGTTCATCCGGACTGACCGAATAAGGCCAGACTAGGGTTCTCTACTCACTCGGCTATCCATCTTGGTTCAAGTCAAAAACTCAAACTTTAAGTTCAACTCGATTTCTAGAAATTTTAGCCAAGCCTCAACCGGATAAAATCTAGGGTTTTTACCAAAGCAGCTAAAGTCTCGAATTTATAGGCATATCAAACAACCTCTAAAATTTACGAAATTTAAACCATGACATATTCATCATTTATAGGATTTTTCGTGAAAGTTTCATCGAATTCCGAGGTCT